AGTGACCTGGCCTCTTCATTCTTTACCACTTCCCCAGCGTGCCTGTCGACTGCAAACTTCATCAGTGCTGATCTGATGTTTTCTCCCAGGTCACTGACGAAGGTGTCAGAGTACGGCCTAGAACCAGGAGGGCTCATCGAGTGCCAGCAAGCTGGGCACGACAGGCCCTTCCCCCATGAACCAGGCACAGTTGAGCCAAGATGCCCTGAGGTCTGTCTCCACGGCAAACAGAAACCCACAGAGCCCAGGACTTGGGCTCCCGGGGCCTGTACTATGGTGCTAAAAACAGCTGTATGGCCATTCGGGCTCAGGCTCTGAAGCTGGGGGCATGGGGTGCGGGGTGGGGGGGGGGGTCAGAGCCCAAGCTGGAAGAGACGGGAGATGCAAAGGAGGCATCAAGGGTGGCGTTGCGGGTGGTACAGGGTCGATAACGTGGTATAAGATGGGCTGCGGCAGGGCTGGAAGAGGGAAGCAGTGTGGGATTGTCTGCCCCGCCATGTGGGAGGACTACGCACGATAGCGGTGGCAGGAGCTGAGATCAGGGCGGTAGATGGCCACTGAAGACCAGAGAGCCCCGGCCCTGTGCAGGCATCTGCAGCCATGAGTGCAAAATGCCACCCCCACCCCGTCAGCAATGGCACAGGTGGGACTGGCGGCACGGGGTGCTGGGAGACGCAGGCCCAGGCAGCAGGGCCCCTGGTACGAGGGTGAAGGGATGGCGCGTGCCCGGGCGGGGTGGCTGCAGCACTCCGCATGGGCTGGAGTGGGGAGCCAAGTCACCTGGGGGAGGGAGCAGATGCAGGAGTGACTCAGCCCCAGCCAATGCCTGCGACGTGGGGGTGACAGCAGGTGGCTCTCAGAACGTAGCAATGGCAGGGGCAGAGGAGAGCTCAAGGGCGGCAGGAGACTCCAAGGTCACCAGCCTGAGGGAAAGCACGGCCCCGCTTCTCTAACCCCAGCACCGCGGCTCCCTTGTTAGCACCACACGGACCGGCACTGGGGCTCCCAGCCAACAGGACAGCGACTTGAATGTCGCAAGCAAAGCAGGGGAGAGAAGGGAATGGATCTGGAGCCAACCGCGTCCCTGTGCTAATGAGCAGGGCCCTCCTCTCCCCAAGGCCGTAATTCATTCGTTTGTGTTGCCAGAGCAAGGTGGAGCTCCAGCAGCGTGGGCCCGCACTGCCTGCTCTACGCTGCGCATCTGCAGGGCCGACGCTGCAAGAGAAACGGAGGGCAGCGCTGCAGGCGGCCGGGGGAACGGAGCCATAGCCAAGCTAGCATGGAAAGAGCATTGGGCACGGGCACCGCACAAAGCAACGCTGCTGCTCCTCCTGCTCCGCCACCTCTGCCCAGCCCTGCCCCTCCCCACCTCGTGTGGAAGGCAGGCGCTGGACTGGCAGAGAAAAGCCCCAATCTAAGGTAGCCGGATGGTGATGCAGATATTCCAGCAGCAACCGCAGACCCGCCCAGGACAGCGCCACCAGCAAGTAGCTTCCCTTGAAATAATCCCAGATGAAAAGGCAGCGCTAGCGGGCGGACGGGCTATTTACTCATGGCAGCAATTAGACACCAGGCACCATCTTAATCAGCACCTCCTGCTAGGGTGCTGGAAATGGGGGAGCGGGGAGGTGAGAGGTCTGACTGGGCTTTGCTCTGCGGGTGCTAGCAGCCTCTTCAGGCCACGGCCCGTTTCACTGAGACAGCTCCGACAACCTGTACAACTCAGAATAATGAGATTATCTGCAAAACATGCCACACACCGCGCTCCAACAGGACAGCGTAAAACCCCTCGTGGGGTATTTCTAGCCCCCGCTGAAGGGAGAGCCACTAACAGCACACAAACACCCCCTTCAGCATCACGTAGGAATCTTATGTGGACGAGAAACAGAACAGGGAGGTTTTAGGTGACCTCAACTGGAGTGTGGAACTGGCAATTTCTTGCAAGCAAATTAGCGTGAGAGGGGGTTTAAGTGCCACACGTGGGCATCAGCGCAAGAGATGCAGAGCGAGGCAGACAGTGCCGCCGAGGAGAACACCACACTTCGTGTGACCCTCCTGCCTGTTTCCGCACCAGAGACGGGCCCTGTTACATAACACTGCAGCGGATGGCGCAGCAGGCTAACCTAGCGTTATCACACAGGGCCTGTTGGGAGGCCAGTTTCCCGGGGTAGCCTGCCCGAGAAGGGAGCTATTTGTTCCAAGTGCCACGTTTGATTGCTTGAGAATTACCCCCAAGAGGGGGAGGGGAAGGGGCAAACAGACTGAAAACACAACTGCACACTTGCTTTAACGCTGCAAAACCAAACCAGCACACGGGTGCCCCGGCACCCCTCCACAACGCCTCCCCTTGCATCACCCCAATTCTGCTCATGTTGGCAAGAATCCTGCATGGCGAGGGGCTGGAAGAAGTTCTCCACACCCGCTAACGGGAAACGCCCCCAATGTCTTGTGCTACCTTCTGCGCTGGGAGCGGAAGTGGCAAGTGCCCTGCAGCTGCAGGCTGGGTAAGCCGGGTGCACATGGCAGGGAATACTCCTGCACTGGCCAAAGGAGAGGGTGCGTTAGCTGGGACACCGCAGGCGACCTCTCAGGCTGTGATATCATTTTGGGGGCGTGCGGCTATGCAGGGCGCATGCCCATGCCGCCAGAGGACAGCGCAGATGCTAATTCACATTACATTATTTTGGCAGCAGCAGAGCACACGCTGTCAGCTCGGCACACACTAACATTCATCACGCCGTGCAACTGCTGACATTCAGCTAACTAAGAGCGGGATCAATTTAAGAAAAACTATTAAAGATTTAAAAAGATTAACAAAGCGTCATAACGCGGTGATGTATGACCCCCACTTTATTTGTGGGGCCCCATCTTTTATCCGCTGCGAAGCGGCTGCATGTTTTACCTATTAAGTTACAGGCGCTCCTGAGAGTCCTCTCCACCGTCACAAGCACGGGAGTTTGGTGCGAGGAGGGGGCCTTAAGCCTTGCACTGACTGCACAAGGACCCCCAGCCATGGAGAGAGCGCACCCACACGTGCACGAAGGGAAGGAAAGCCACTAAATCTCCCTGCTTGGGAGGCAGCAAACAAGAGTTCAGCATTTTAAAGAGAGCCCTTTGTGATCCTGGCAGACAAGGTCAAACTCGGCAGCTCTCGCGACTGAAACGTTGGCCTCGCCTTATGTCGCGGGTTTTACTCAGGATTTTAAATGGATGTTGCTCCTGTGGACAAGTTAACCAACATGTATTTTTTAAACCGTCAAAGCGCAGCAGCCATCCAGCACAGGCAGCTGTGGGACGCCTCTGCTCAATAACGAACGAGACCCAGAGCAGGCTGCACAGGGCCATGCTGTCCACACACACCCCCCCCCAAGAGGGCCCTATGGATTTTGGACCAGGCCCTTCTGTCCACATCGGCTCCACGTAGGTTCTTATCCAGGTCCCCGACTCCCCTCCTGTATGCAGCCCTACACTTGGACTGAACGCCCCCTCCCTCTCTGCCTTGGCGAGGGGGCAGGTAGGGGGCTCTACAGCCAGGGGCAGGCTGCACGGAGAAGACTTTGATCTAAAGGGATATGGCCTAGGCTGCACCCCTGAAGGATCCGACTTTAATGGGATTAACATACCTTGGAGCCCTCGGCCATGATATTAAAGGGACCCCCCTTTCAAGGCCAGGCCCTGGGATTTCAGTGACATGGCGTTTAAACTCAACCATGGCAGCCCCTCGGGGGCCCTGCCCAGCTGCCCTGAGTTATTACGGGCTAGGCACACGGCCTGCAGGGACTGCTCTGTAGAACTGAGACAGGAATTGGGCTGGTTTATCAACACGGGGCCAATGACACAACCACCAGCGACTTCAGGTTCCTGAGCCGGTGCGTCAGTACAAAGGACCGCTGAGAATCACTTTGCTTTAGCCAGCTGCATAGCTACCCCAGGATGCCCCAACGCAGGCTGAGTCCACGCCAGTCTCCAATGGACAGCCAGCCCGGCGGCGGCACTGCTACGCCCCCAGGATAGCAATGCCACAGACAACACTGTGCTCTGGCTCCTGGGAGAAAGGAATCGGCTCCCGCCACACAACAGCGCCCCCGCTGGCCAAGTGAGGAACTGTACCAGTGGGCTCCCGAGACATCTTTGTGTGGTGTCAGAAGTACGGCTACGGCGCACAGGGCTTTCCTTGGCTAGCAGCCCTGTGACAATGCAGGGCCTATTTCCACATCGACTGCTTCGCCTAACAGTCCCCAGTGCGGCAGCAGCAACGTGCCGGGTTACGTGCGCTTATCCTATTTGCCTTCTCTTTCCCCTTTCCAGGCCGCAAGCGCTCCGAGCAATTCCAGCCCAAGGACAGCACGAGGCGAGCGCTCCGATTGTGCCACCGAACAAAGAAAGCCCCAAGGAAAGCCCGTTTCCTTTCTCTAGGCCTCAAACCTTTCAGTGCCGCTGCTCGCGTTCCAACACCTCCCCCTCCCACCTCGGCGCGCCGGCTGCAGGGCAAAGAGCGGAGCTGAGTGCACCGGCAAATTGGAAAAAAGGCGCTTGCAACACACAAGGGAATTGAAAAGGGCAAATTGTGTTTAAATCCGAGGGCTCTTTCCATTTAAACGATAATCATCAATCTCGCCTGTAGCCCCCTACTGGGGCTGCACCACAAGTGCTGTCGGAACTCACCTTCTGCACCGGAGCATGATGGGAAAGAGCCAGAGGCCCAGAAGCTGCGGCACCCTGAGGAAGTCTGAGCTAGCCCTCCAACAATAAAGCAGCAGCAAACATGCGGATTCACGGCCCAGCAGAGAGCTCGGTGTGGAGACCACAGCCTGACACGCTGTCTCCAGTCATCTCACTGCTCCTTGGCATCCCCACCACTGTCTGCTATACCCACATGTCGCTGCACCTTACGAGGTTGTGAGCTCTCAACCCCTTATCGGGATCCCTAGGCTCTACCACAATACAATACAACTAATAATAATGCCACGCTGCATGGGCAGAACCATGCGGATCCTTACCCCAGAGATATCGGCCACCCGGTGTATTGGCACCTCTTTCTTGCTGTGCAATCCTTTGCCATTCTTGATAGCCCTGTTGGAGGGAAAACAAACACAAAATATAATCAGCGTGGGAAAGCAAAGCGAGCTGTGCCATCTGCACTGCGTACGCCGGATGGCACCGACAGCTCGGCACCGTGCGCGAGGGGAGCCCAGACGCGCTCGTTAGCCTGCTAATCCCAATTACTGGTATTCAGCTGCTCACCTGAGCTACGCATGTACCTGATCAGAGAGAACATTTGTAGATGTTACCAAATTAAATGCCTTTGTTCCCCGCACAAGGGAAGGAATCAACAGGAAGAGCACGCCGGGGAGAATCAAAAGTAATAAATGTTTCTTTCAGCGCTTAATCACATGAAATATTTTAAATGCAAACTACGCAGCCAGCGCTCCAATTCTAATGGAAATGCGTTCCTCCCAGGTAAAAGAGAAAAAGAAGAGAAGATAAGTAGCCTGAATGAAGCAACACTGGACAAGGAAGTCATTTAACAGCCACAAAAATTAGCAAATGCTACAGAACTGACATGAAGCCCCATTTTCAATTCCATCTGAAGCCATAACTATTAGAGCATATTAACAGGAAAAGAAGAATTGCCACGACCGATCATCTCAGTCCAGCCTGGGCAGCACTCTTCCTCTCTCCCTCAGCTCTGGTATCCTGCCACCTTGCCACCGTACTCGCTCCGAGCTCTAGCTAGCAGATTTCATCTATGGGGAAGGGAGCTTTGCCCACAATTCAAAAGGAATGTGAGGCCCACATCTAAAATGTAAGTAATCGCCTCCTTCTGACCCTGCTGGGGTAGGCATCTGTGAAACCTACGACCGCAATATCCAGTCCCGAGCCGTGCCAGAACAAGCCACTGGTCATGTGTCCGTGCTGCACCTAGCACAACGGGGTGCTGCTCCATGACTGGGGCTCCTAGCCACTAATGCAAAACAACAACAAATCAAATAATAAGGGTCCCAGGCCAGTCTCCTGCTTGTGACAGCAGCCAGCATAGGACACTGCAACGTAGCCAATTATTGGGGGCAGGGAAGAGATTCCTCTGCACACCAGCTTTCACCCGGAAGCAGGAGATACAGCCGACCTTGGAGCCTGCAGAGCTACAGGGTTATTAAATGGGCAGATTCATCCAGGCCGCTCCTTTTCCTTAAAGCCCAGATGCTATCCGACTCCCTCCTGTAGCGAGTCCCTTAGCTCAACTGTGGGCTGTGTGATGTATTAAAAATGGACTTAAGGCAAGTTGCAGCTCTAGATCTTATAAATATTGAATGAAAAAGCTTCGGCGTCCGAATGCTCCAGCGCGGCGACGTTGTTCCCCCCACCTCCACCAGTGTTGCAAGTCTTGCAATATTGGGGGTTTTATGTAAAGACCCAACTCCTGGAGTCATGTGAGATTCTCACAAAGAAACTGCTAGCCCTTGTGGTTCCAGAGAAAAGCTTGAAAACATGAGTCCCTGAAGGCTTGAACACCAGAAGGCAAATTTAAACAAACAATTTGTACAAGCCTGGAAGATAATAGGGTGATAAGTAACAGCCAATGCAGACTTGTCAAGAATAAATCATGTCAAACCAATCTAATTTCCTTTTCTGACAGCATAACCACCCTAGTGGATGCAGGGAGGGGAAAGAGAGGGAAGCAGTAGACATGATACAGCTTGATGTAAGGCTTTTGACACTGTCCTATAGGACATTCTCATAAGCGACCCAGGGAAAAGTGGTCTAGATGAAATTACCAGAAGGTGGGTGCACAACTGGTTGAACGCACGTACTCAAAGAGTAGCTATCACTGCCAGAGGATGTATCTGGTGGGGTCCCACAGGGGTCAGTCCAGGGTCTGGGACTAGTCAGTATTTTCATTAATGATTTGGATAATGGAGTGGAGATAATGCTTATAACATTCGCAGATGACACCAAACAGGGAGGGGCTGCAAGCACTTTGGAGGGCAGGATTAGAATTCAAAACGAACTTGAGAAATTGGGGAACTGATCTGAAATCAGTCAGAGGAAATCCAATACAGACAAGTGCAAAGTACTTCACTTATGGCTTATCTACATGGCACCGTTACTGTGGCAAGCCAGGGTGTGTAGCTACAGCGCACCAGTTTACCATGCAGTAACACCCCCTGGTGGGCACCTACACCACAGAGTCCTGGAGTGCTACTCTGTCACTTGCAGTGTACTCTGGCAGAGTCCACACAGAACATTACTGCATGGCAAGCCGGCAAGATTCACACCTTGACTTGCCACCGTGCCCTTAGGAAGGAAAAATCAAATCCACAACTATAAAATGAGGAACAACTGGTTAAGTGGCAGCACTGCTGAAAAGGAGGAGGGGGTAGCTCACCCTGTGCAGTAGCGGAGGTGCTTGGAGATGCATGCCCCTGTGGGTGCTCCACTGGGATCAGAGCTCTTCGGTAGCAGCGTTCGTTGGGCCGCACATGCGCTCCTCCCCGCCTCACGCAGTCAACGGTGTATGGTCCAACCATCCTGCTCTACCGCCGAGTCCATGTTTGAACCCTGAAGCAGAGGGGAGGAGGGTGGGTAGTGGAGCACCCATAGCGGGAAACATCTCCAAGAACCTCAGTTACTGCACAGGTGAGTAAACACTCTTCCAGTAGTGTCCATACGGGCACTCCACTTTAGGCGACTGTAGAGCAGTGCTCTTAGCTGGGAGGCTGGGGCGTCGGAATCATATCAGTGAGGACAGGACAGTGCATTCTAATATGGTATCTGATGGGGAGTGGTGGGTGATCGCATAATGCTGTATGAATGTCTCTGTTGATGCCCAGGTGTCTGCCTTACAGATGTCCATAATCAGCACGTCCTTTGGAAAGGCTATTGAAGTGGACAACGGTTGAGTGGAATGCATTCAAATTCCCAGTGAGGCCCATAGTTTATGTTGCTGGTAGGAAGGTGAATGCACTCGGAGATCCATTTAGAAAGTCTCTGTTTCAGTATGGCAGATCCCTTTGATCTTTCAGCCCCAGAGAGGAATACACGTGGTGACTGAACGATTTAGTTCCTTCGAGGTGGAAGGCCGATGCCTAGGGTGCGTAGCGCGGCCTCACGCTGGTTTCCATGTGGTTTGGAGAAGGATGGAAGGTGGATGGTTTGGTTCAGGTGAAAGGATGATGGTACCTTGGGTAAGAACTTCAGGAGGGGTCGTAACGGGACCTTATCCTTGTAGAAGGTTGTGGGGGGGAAGACGCCATGAGGGCACCAATTTCACCTGCCCAGCGGGTGGATGTGATGGCTACGCGAAAGGCAGTCTTCATGAATAGGTGCATGTAGGAACAGGTTGCCAGGGGTTCAAACAGGGAGCTGGTGAGAGACAGATCCCAAAGCGGGGTGGGGTCTCGTACTTCAGGGTACGAGTTTTGAAGGCCCTTGAGGAATATTTTTGGGTCATCAGGTGGGTAAAAACCAAATGATCTATCTTAGAATGGAATGCAGTGATGGCAGCCAGGTGTACACGAATGGAACTCAAGTAGAGTCCTGGTCTTGAGTCGAAGGATGTAGTCCAGAATGAGTGGTAAAGGAGCACTCAGCACTGAAACACATTTGGTGTCGCACCAAGTCTGGAATCTTTTCCATTTGTGTAGATAAGGATGGCGTGCGGTTGAACATTTACTATTTAAAAGGATACCTTTTCTCTCATCGGAACAGGTCACCTCAGGAGCGTGGAACCATGAAGAAGCCATGTCTTCAGGTGGAGAATCTCCAGATTTGGGTGGAGAATTTGGCCTGCACTCAGAGAGGCGGTGTGGATTTGGCTGTAGGGTTATTGGAGGACAAACCGCCATGTGCAAGAGATAAGGTACCATATCTGTTGGGGACATTAGAATGACCCTAGCTTGCTCTACTTGTATCTGTGAAGCACCCTGAATAGTAGGGGGAGAGGTAGAAAGGCATAGAGGAGAGGTGCATTCCATGTGATAAGAAAGGCGTCGCCAGGGACTGGTGACCCAGACCCGCTCTTGAGCAAAATAGTGGGTGCAGCAAACAGATCTATGTTCAGGCATCCCCAGTAGTTGAATATTGTCTGTAGGGATATTGTGTATCTCCCACTTAAGTTCACAGTGAGTCCACTGTGGTGGTCTGGTGACCAGGTAGGTAGGTGTCAGATCTTGATGCCATGTTGGATGCACTAGTTCCACAATTTTAGGGCTTTGGTGCACAGGGATTGAGACACCTTGCTCCCCCTTATCTGTTGATATAAAACATACAGGCAATGATGTCCGTCATTACTGTTACATTCTTGTTCCTGATTATTGGTAGAAAATGGGATTGCACATAATTCAAGAAGGTTGATGTGCAACGTGGACTCTGACGGGGACCACTTGCCCTGTACTGTGTGGTTCTGTAGACGTGCTCCCCAAAAGAGGGGGGGAGGCATTGGTCATCAGTACCAAGGATGGTGGAGGTTGGAGGAAGGGAACTCCCCCTGCAGACGTTCTGGGGTTTTGTCCACCAGTCTAATGAGTCCTTGATCTTGAGTAGTACCGAGAAAGATTTGTTCAGGCTGTGTCTGTGGGGCAGAAAAACTGTTCGAAGCCATCCCTGGAGGCAATGCATATGCAATCTGGCATGTTTTATCATGAATGTGGTTGCTGCCATATGGCCGAGCAATTGCAGGCATGTTCTGGCGGAGATCTGTGGGCTGGTTCTCACGCTGGAAATTAGTCTATCGTGGCAAATTTTTGGATTGGTAAGGCAGCTTTGTCCTCTATTGTGTCTAACTGTGCCCCAATAAATTCCAGCTGTATTACCGGTGTCAGTATTGATTTTTGCCTCTTTATTTCAAGGCCCAGTGTTGAGAAAGATTCATTGTCCTTATGGCCTTGAGCGCGTTGCCTCGGGACAGGGCCTTTATTAGTCAGTCGTCTAGGTATGGGAATATTATAAACCCTTGTTTGCAGAGGTGCCCCTGCCACCACTGCTAGGACTTCGGGGAAAAAACTCTGGGTGCTGTGGAAAAGCCAAAGGGTAATACTCTGTATTGATAATGGTCCAATCCCAGGACAAATCTT